TATACAATTCAGAGGTCTCTTGATATAGACCTCTGAATGTCGTAATTTGTTACCCGACCTCAATTTAAACATGATTCCTAGCAGTTCTTATCTTTTAATGTGTTACACAAATTAAAATTATGTCTCGCCACATGCGTCGCATGTGTATGTTAAGTCATGTATTACATAAATGTTAGGATAATAAGGTAGTCCGGTGCACAATAGCATCACGTATTCACGCATGATCCGAGGAAGGACTGCACCACAAAAGGTGTGAGGTAGAAAGACTACCCTAATGCAAACATCAGTAGGTGCTTCCACGACTCAAACTTGTAACCTATAGTGCACACAGAGACATATTGACCGTTGCTCTAGCGTTCCCCTTTCATTTTTAGGAAAATAGATTTTCAGAAAAATAATAAGATGGCTTTGATACAATATTCTCCGTCTTGCAACAGGAAAGCAATCTTTCACATAGTTGATGCGTGCTACTAAATTGTACAAAACAAATCAATTCCATGCAAATAAATATATATTCTCAGCCATCTTATAACGATCATCTAACCTAATATTTTTGAAATTGAATTTCATAAACCACAATTAGAAACCCAATTTTATTGCCCTTTCTTCTTCATGACTTTTTGATATTGTTTCCAACTGTAGCAAGCTAGTGATCTGATTTATTATTCACTATTACTTTTCATATCCTTCCTGACCAACAACACGTTAGTAATTCATAAATTGAATAAGTATATAAAACTCAATGTACAAAATAAACATAAGCATTAAACAATTTGTTTAAATGCAAGAATAATCGATAAAGGTAGTTCTATACACATGTATGCTTCTTTACCTAATATGACTCTAGATTCTCATACAAATGCTAATGTAATTCATAGTAACAACAATTGTTGTTTAATTACTCAAGCACAATATAATAATTATATAATACTCGATGCATAAAATATTTATTTCGGCAAGTATTAATGCAATTGCATCAATATTTTCAAACTAAACATTGGAAATTTTCTAATTAATAACGATACTAAAATACGTCAAAACTAAAGCCAGAGGACTTGATTTACCTTATGAAACAATTCATAATACATCAATTGGACCAATGCTTATTTGCCTATAATGTCTAAATTAATTCTCTAATCAAATTTGTATTTTCTTGTATGGATGTATCCAAGTAAGCAATTTGTATTGAATAGTAAAGTCGTCTTTGCGAAAACAGAACATAGAGATAGATGATTCAGGAAGCCTTCTCACCTCAACTATCTAATGTTAGTAAATTCCTATAGTCGCTTACGAAATTGAAGACTATGAAGGTACTTCAAAGGAGAAGTAGATTAGGAATGAAGTCAAATGTACCTATGCCTTTTTCCGTAGCAACAAACTTCTAACAACTTTTTGTATACTTCAATCGCACCTTCATAACAAAGAAAAAAATTAAACCGAGTCATTTTGATGACGAAAGAAAGTTATAAAATTAAAGAATAAGAAAATGTCATATTACTCATGATGCGGATAGATACTTAAAGATATTATTTTATAAATTTGAAGTCACAAAAAGAAGCAAAGATGAGAGACATAAATTATCAGTCACAAGCTGCATGTATATAGCACAAACTGATGCAAGGATCCATCCTGTCCCTCTTGGCATTTTTACTTGCACTTTTCTCGCTGCCTAATCGATTTTGTAATTTCAAATTACAAACCGCATGCATATGTTTGTCTTTATATTTTCCTACTAGAGAAAGAATGCAAAATGTCTTGTTTTACTTTATAAATTAAATCCATCCCCACCAAAAAACTTTGTATGCAGGGAGATTTTCAGGGAATGTGTATTCTCGTACTTCCATTTACATTGGTCTAATTCTTAATTTTTTACCCTAACCAACATAATGTTTGATAAAGGGCGTGGATTAATTTTAAACAGCTTATTTGAAAAGTGTTTTTTCACCTATGGTTGTGTTCTTTCATAATTTAACGAATTTTTGTAAAAGTATATAAATGTAGTTTAATATTACTTTAAATAACTTATTTGAAAAGTGTCTTTCACTTATAATTTTGTCTTTTCATAGTTTAATTATTCCCTTAGAGCCAAACTTGGTTGTTAAAGTTAATTATTTATTTGTCTATTTTAGAAGATTATTTTGATAATTTAATTTTTGGAATTGGGTCTTATGTATTTTGATAATACTTCCGGATACTTTTCTTGGCACTGGTTGAATTACTTGGAACCTTAAGAAAGGATCGACTGTCTCTCGCAAACAACTTATTTGAAAAGTGTACGTCTTTCACTTATAATTGTGTCTTTTCATAATTTAATTATTTTCTTAGAGCCAAACTTGGTTGTTAAAGTTATTTATTTATTTGTCTATCTCAGAAGAGTATTTTGGTAATTTAATTTTTGGAATTGGGTCTCAAATTCTTCAATTTTTTTAATAGCAATGAAGAGTCATGTTGGTTAGTATATTAGTTTATTTTGCTTTAACGTTTTAAACATTAAGTAAGAGGTCATTTTCATTAGGTAATTCAACTTTTTAAACATTAACGTTTTAAAACTTTTTAAACATTAAGTAAGAGGGCAAATGGTCAGCAAATTTTGAAGGATATTTTTGTAATTCAACTTTTAACTTAAGATCTTCCCACTTGTAATATATATATATATATATATATATATATATATATATATATATATATATATATATATATATATATATATATATATATGCCTGTCACAAACAACAACAACAATGACCCAGTAAAGTCCCACTAAGTCGGGTCTGGGGAGGGTAGAGTGTATGCAGACCTTACCCCTACCCCGATAGGGCAGAGAGGCTGTTTCCGATAGAACCTCGGCTCAGGAAGATGGAAATAAAACAAGAAAACAAGAAAGGACAATTCATCAGTAACGTCAACATAACCATAGAAATAATGACAGCATCCTCAAAACCAAAAAATAGATGACATGCAATAACAATAACCCGCAACTAAGGTCCAGAGCTATGGAAAACAGTAAGGTTAGTGTGAAATCTACATTAACCACAAGCCGTCAAGGACCAACCTACTCAAACTCGCTTCACCCCCGGAATGGAGAAGGAGAAGCTAGACTAGCACTCTATCCTACAACCCTAATGCTCGACCTCCAGACCTTCCTATCAAGGGCCATGTCCTTGAAAATCTGCAATCGTGCCATGTCCTGCCTGATCACCTCTCCCCAATACTTCTTAGGCCGTCCTCTACCTCTTCTCATACCCACTAAAGCCAGCAGCTCACACCTCCTCACCGAAGCATCCAGGCTTCTCCTCTGCACGTGCCCGAACCATCTGAGCCTCGCTTCCCGCATCTTGTCCTCTACAGAGGCCACACCCACCTTCTCCCGAATATCTTCATTCCTAATCTTATCTATCCTAGTGTGCCCGCACATCCACCTCAACATCCTCATCTCAGTTACCTTCATCTTCTAGATATGAGAGTTCTTAACTGGCCAGCACTCTGCTCCATACAACATGGTCGGTCTAACCACCGCCCTATAAAACTTACCTTTGAGTATCAGTGGCACTTTCTTGTCACATAAGACTCCAGATGCTAGCCTCCATTTCGTCCACCCCACTCCTATGCGGTGAGTGACGTCCTCGTCAATCTCACTATCCCCTTGAATAACCGACCCAAGGTACTTGAAACTACCTCTCTTGGGGATGACCTGTCATCCAAGCTTCACATCCATGCCTACTTCCCTCGACTCGGCGCTGAACTTGCACTCCAGGTACTCTGTCTTAGTCCTGCTCAATTTGAGACCCTTAGACTCGAGAGCCTGTCTCTAAACCTCCAACATCTCATTAACACCGTCCCGCGTCTCATCAATCAGAACTATATCATCAGCGAATAACATACACCATGGCACTTCCTCTTGAATATGGTGTATTAGAGCATCCATTACTATGGCAAATAAGAACGCACTAAGCGCTGATCCTTGGTGTAACCCCAAAACAATTGAGAAATTCCGAGTTGCCTCCCACAGTCCTTACCCTAGTCTTAGCTCCATCATACATGTCCTTGATCGCTCTAACATAAGCTACCGGCACACCTTTTACCTCCAAACATCTCCATAGCACCTCCCTAGGGACCTTGTCATACGCTTTCTCCAAGTCAATAAACACCATGTGCAGATCTTTCTTCCTATCCCTGTACTGTTCCACCAACCTCCTAATAAGGTGGATAGCTTCCGTGGTCGAGCGATCCGGCATGAACCCGAACTGGTTGTTAGATATAGACATTATCTTCCTCACGCTCGCCTCCACCACCTTCTCCCAAACTTTCATGGTATGACTTAGTAACTTGATACCCCTATAGTTGTTACAACACTGAATATCACCTTTGTTCTTGTACAACGGAACCACTGTACTCCACCTCCACTTATTCGATATCCTCTTCGTCCTGAAAATAACATTAAACAGCCCAGTCAGCCACTCCAAGCCTGCTCTACCCATATACTTCTAGAACTCAACCGGAATTTCATCTAGCCCGGTCGCTCTGCCTCGACTCATCTTACGCATAGCCCCCACGACCTCCTCCAACTTAATACGCCTACAGTACCCAAAGTCTCGGAGACTCTCGGAATGTCCCAAATCCCCTAGCACTATATCACGGTCCCCTTCCTCATTTAGAAGACCCTGAAAGTACATCTGCCATCTCTATTTAATCTGGGACTCCCCCATCAAGACTCTACTGTCCTTTTCTTTGATGCACCTCACTTGATCCAGATCCCGACCCTTCCTCTCCCTCGCTTTAGCCAATCGAAACAACTTCTTATCCCCGCCTTTTTCCCCCAATTCCTCATACAGTCGGCCAAAAGCTGTATTCTTAGCCTCCGTGACCGCTAGCTTAGCCTCCTTTCTTGCTACCTTGTACCTCTCTCTATTCGCTCTCCTCTCCTCCTCGCATGTGCTCCCTACCAACTTCATATACGCATCCTTCTTCGCCTCCACTTTGCCTTGGACTATGTCATTCCATCACCAGTCGCCTTGGTGCCTGCCAGAGTGACCCTTCGAAATCCCTAGCACCTCTTTCGCCGCCTCCCTAACACAGTTCGCCGTCGTAGCCCACATAGCACTGGCGTCCTCACTACTCTTCCATGCTCCCATAGCCAATAACCTCCCCTCCAACTCCTGGGCTTTATCCTTAGGTAAGGCTCCCCACCTGATCCTCGGTTGACCACGAGCATACCTCTTCTTCCTCCTTATCATAATACCGACATCCATTACCAAGAGCCTATGCTGGGTCACGAGGGTCTCACCCGGGACAACCTTGCAATCCTTGCACAACCCTCTATCACACCTTCTGAGGAGGAGGTAATCAATCTGAGTTTTCATAATCGAACTTCAAAAAGTTACTAGATGCTCCTCCCTCTTCGAAAAACTCGAGTTCGCAATCACCAGCTCGAAAGCCTTAGCAAAATCCAACAGCGAAGAACCTCCTCCATTCCTAACCCCAAAGCCGAAGCCACCATGCACCTCGCCATAGTCACCAGCAACCGACCAATGTGGCCATTGAAATCCCCTCCGATAAATAACCTCTCAGTGGGTGGAATACTACGCACAACCTCATCCAAACTCTCCCAGAAGCGCCTTTTAACCTCCTCATCCAAGCCCGCTTGCGGCGCATAATCGCTAAGGACATTGAAGGTGCACTCACCAATCATCAACTTAATAAACATTAGTCTGTCATGCATCCGCCTAACCTCAACCACCGACTCTCTAAGGTCCCTATCCACCAAGATACCCACTTCATTCTTACCCCTCACGACTCCAGAGTACCATAGCTTATACCCGTCCATATTCCTTGCCATCGACCCTACCCACCTTGTTTCCTGGACACAATCTATATTTACTCTTCTCTTCTGGAGAATCTTCCAGCTCAATAGACTTGCCCGTCAGCGTGCCTATATTCCATGACCCGATCCTCAACCTACAAGCTCCTTTTCTCCCCTTACCCTCCTTGCCTCCCATCCTATCCTCTGGCCCCTTCCTCGCCCCCTTCCTCGCCCCCGTCCCCACCCCCCGAACCCCCTGAACCCTCTGAACCCCCCCAAACCCCCTGAAGACATGACCTTACTCTACCATCCCAAACCACAACCACGATAGACTACGGGCAAGCACTAGCACAGAATAGGACCCAACTAGAAGGTAGCAAGTAGCAACTACAAGTGCGCTAATAATATTCTTGAAGTAATGCTAACTAGATTGGCAGAATTTAACTATCACATAGAGATAAACAGGAAAGCGGGAGGTACCAACTCCCGATTGAAGAACCTGAAGATATGCCTTGGTGCACACCCGAGGTCACGGAATCCGTCGTGCGTCCTTCCAAATCTCACCAGCCTTTGCACCTACCAGCCAGGAATGCTCCGCTTTCTTGCTCGTATGCCTCACACTCGTCTCGACCGACGCAGCTAGTTCCCTGCAGAATCGCACACAACCACCACGAAAAACAATAGGGGAGGGGGTGGGTTGTCACCATGTCGCCGCTGCACCAGCTTAGTTCTACGACAACCCGGGTTGTCCAACTAAACTATGTGGAAGACCGCCGCCGAGGGCAACGGAGATGGGTGACGAGTCTAGGTATCCAACACAGAGGAGGGGGAGGAGGTGGAGGGTATAGGCGACCTGGGCAGACGCGAAAACAGAGGGGTGTTCGCCGGCCAGAGGTTGCCGACGGGTTGCTAGGGTTCGTGCTTTGGGAACTAAATTTTGGGCACAAGAAGGCTGGAGACACGAACCATAGGGAAAGAGAGAAGGGCTTAGGGGAATAAGAGAGAAGAAAGGAGAGAGGAGGAGAAAGGCCAATCGCCGGCCGGAAAACTCCGGTGATGACTGACGCAGAGAAGACGCAAAATCTGAAAATGAGGGAAGGAGAGAGAAGGGATGGGGAAGAGAGAAAGGGGGGAGGAGAAAGGGAGAGAGAGAGGAGGGGGGGGGAGGGGGAGCTTACCTATGATTCCCGGCGCCGGCGGTCACGCCGGTGGCTTTACAGTAGACGAAAAGAGGGAGACTAGCAGGGAGAGAGAAAGAGATTAGAGAGAGAAAGAGCCGTTTTCATATGATACCTACAGACAAAAATATTGCTTACTTGGCGTCATTTGTTTGCACTTAATGGAGGTTTGAATGTTAATCATTCAGATCTCAGACATTAAGTGCATGTGTTTTTTAAGTCTAAATCTTAACTATTCAAATCTTAATCATTAAGTGTGTTTGTTTTTTCTATTTCACAACAACTTAATGGGTCTAAATAGATCTGAATGATCAAGACCATAACAAAGACTTCATTTCATTAAAATATTATCATTCACATTCACCACTAACCGTTGCCACCGCTCACTACTATTACCTACCACCATGCACCACCACTTCTACCATACTCAACCACTACCGCCGACCACCACCGTACCTAACTACCGCCACAAACCACCACCATCCTCAACCATAACCGCCACCGCCATTATTATCAACTATCATCGCCTATCACTCCACCATTATAGACTACCACCACCATGCACCATAGCATTATCAACTAACACCACTACTATTTTCCTCAACCACAACCACCCATCCACCCACCTCAACTACCACCACCAACCACCCTACTATCATCATCAACCATAGTCGCTACTATCTATCATTATAAACTACTACCACCCACCACCACCTTCCTCAACCACAATTATTATACTAGACACCACTAGTTACTATCCAGAACTACAACCATCAACCAAAATTACTGCTAATCACCGCCTCCGATCGACATCCACAAGCACCACCATTAGTGTCACGACCCTAAACCCAGACCCGGTCGTGATGGCGCCTCTCGTGAAGGCAAGGCAAGCCAACACAAATCCCAAGTTTAATTAACAGATATAATGAGTCATAATCAAGTCATTAATAATGCTAAATCCCAAAATAATGCGAAATATGTCAACTGCGGAAACAAAACACAGCCCGACATCGGGGTGTCACAAGTCACGAGCATCTACTAAGGTCTGAACACAACTAAGAATCTAAAATGTACTAAACACAGTCTAAGGAAGAAAAGAGGGAGAAAAACAGTGCTGCGAACGCCGGGCAGCTACCTTGCTAACTCCGATGACTCTGCCACTGAGCAACCAACACCCGTTACCGGGTTCAAAATAATACCTGAATCTGCACACAAGGTGCAGGGAGTAATGTGAGTACGCCAACTCAGTAAGTAATAAAAGTAAATGAAAGCTGAGCAGTAAGAAAACACGTAAGCCACATCATGACGCTACAGCAAATACAGTACATTTCCAAAATAGTACAGAAATCATTTACTTCGTAAATCAAGCTCAGTTTCAGTAAAACCTTTTAAAAACAACTTTCAATAGTTTCAAACGAGTGATAAAAAAAGTGAGTAAAAATGATAGAAACGTAAATAGCCCCTCGGGCAAAACATGTACCATAAACCGCCCCTCGGGCACAATATCAAAGGAACCAGCCCCTCGGGCTACCTCACAATCACTCGTAATCAGCCCCTCGAGCATAACATGAATCAAGAACCGCCCCTCGGGCAACATAGATCAAGAACAGCCCCTCGGGCTTTAATATGAAACAACAACAGCCCCTCGGGCTACAACACATCACACACACTGGGTACCCGCGCTCACTGGGGGTCTACAAACTCCGGGAGGGGCCCCTTACGGCCCAAGCGCAATAACAAGCCATCTCGTGGCATAATCAATCCGGCCCTCGGCCTCACATATTAAACTGAATCATCACACTGGGTACCCGCGCTCACTGGGGTGTACAGACTCCTGGAGGGGCCCCTTACTGCCCAAGCGCAATAACAAGCCATCTCATGGCATAATTAAACAGGTTCTCGGCCTCATATCAATCACAAGCCACCTCGTGGCATAATAAATCAGGCCCTCGGCCTCTCATATATCACAATCGGTACCACATGTTGCGGCGCGCAGCCCGATCCCATTGTATCCTCACAACATAGGCCCTCGGCCTTACTCTGTCAGAATCTCACAAGCCACGCGGGCAACAATAAAACTATTACTCGGCTAAAAATATCATTTTTGAAATCAAGAGGAGTGAATAAAACCGAGTTACAAAAACAGTAAGAATATAACATGACTGAGTGTAAACATTAAATCAAAACAGTAAGGTAAAACAGTAGTAAAAGCCCCTAAGGGTCCAAACAATCGGCACAAGGCCCAGACATGGCATTTAGCCCCAAACAAAATAATATTTTCCAAGATATAACAATATCAAATAGTTTGCAAGTAGAATACCCGACTTAATAGTTGTACGGGATGGACCAAGTCACAATCCCCAATGGTGCACGAACCCACGCTCGTCATCTAGCGTGTGCGTCACCTCAAAGTAGCACAACGATGTGCAATCCGGGGTTTCATACCCTCAGAACAGTATTTACAATCATTACTTACCTCTATCCGATCCAAACTCTAGCCCGCGATGCTTTTACCCTCTCAAATCGACCTCCGGATGCTCCAAATCTAACCAAAATCAGTACATAACCATTAAAATATGCTAAGGGAACAAAGCCCACTCGAAAATATCCAATTTACATCAAAAATCCCGAAATTGCTCAAACCCGGCCCCCCGGGCCCACGTCTCGAAATTCGATAAAATTTACATCAATAGATTCCTTATCTCCCCACGAGTTCATACATATCAAAAGTTCTAAAATCCGACCACAATTAGTCCATCAAATCCTCAATCAAAGGCCTACGTTTCCAAGCCCTAGTTTCCTCAATTTTTACCCTTAGTTTCCCCTAATATCATGATTAACCAATGGAAAAATGATCATAAACTCAAGTAATGAAGCTTAGGGAACTTACCCAACTGATTCACCTCGATTTTTCCCTTAAATTCACTGCCCTAGCTCGTTTCCCGTCTTCAAAAATGGAGTACTTAGCCAAAAATTCGCGAAGGAAACATTATATACTTCTGGCCCAGGGATTCCGCATCTGCAGCACTGATAGCGCTTCTGCGGTACCGCTTTTGCGGTCCATGAACCGCTTCTGCGGTCATCACTTAAGCCGCCTCCTGCACCTGCGACCCTCTCTCTGCATCTGCGGTCGCGCAGGTGCGGTTCACATACCGCATCTATGGTTTCACTCCACCAAACCTTTGGCGCATCTGTGGCTCCAACCACGCATCTGCGATACCGCACCTGCGGTCCCGTAGCCGCAGGTGCGGTTATGACAGCAATGGGAGATTTTCAGCTGCCAAAACCAACTTCCAAACTTTCCGCCAGCCATCCGAAATCACCCCAAGGCCCCCGGGACCTCAACCTAAAGCACCAACAAGTCTTATACTACCATTCAAACTTGTTCCAACCTTCGCAACACTTAAAACAACATCAAAATACCAAATTTACATTGGATTCAAGCCTAAGAATTCCAAAAACTTCCAAATTCTGCTTTCGATCAAAAAGTCTATCAAACCTCGTCCGAATGACCTGAAATTTTTCACACACGTCACAAATGACACAACGGACCTACTCCAACTTCCGGAATTCCATTCCGACCCCTATATCAAAATCTCACCTATCAACCGAAAATCGCCAAAATTCCAATTTTGCCAATTCAAGCCTAAATCTACTCCGGGCCTCCAAAACACATTCCAATCACGCTCCTAAGTCCCAAATCACCTAACGGAGCTAACCAAATCATAAAAATTCCAATCCGAGGTCATATACTAACAAGTCAAAACTTGGTCAACCTTTCAAATTTTTAAGCTTCAAACTGAGAACTGTTCTTCCAAATTTATTCCAATTATCCTGAAAACCAAAACCGACGATTTA